TTACTCCTTTGAAAACAAACCCAGCTTATTACATTCTGTACATTTTTTAAAAAATATATTGTGGTGTATTTTAATCAGATGTCACATTCCACAAAGATTATTATCAAGATTGCTGTTAAAGAGAAAGTAACATGCTTTTAAGACAATAGAAAATGGAAGTGCAGAGCGTGTCTGGAACTGCTCGATTTGATTGTTATAAATTGTTTATGAAGTGTCACTCCTTATTCTCATCAAAAGCTTTTCTTGCAGCAGAGATCATGTGTGCTTCAGCATGCAATTTTCCCTCTCCAGAGGGATGACAATGTGCCGCAGTTTACTTTGCCTGGGTTACACTGCAGTATCTTTTTTTTCTGGTGTCTTTTTTTTTAAGGCAAGCACTGAAATATTTCTCTTTCACTGTGCAACAGCTCCCACTGATTAGCAGGGAGAAATAAATATGCTGAGTGACAGAGCTTGCATGCTGTATCACATAGACAAAACCTAGATGTGCTCAGACAATTAAAGAGATGGTACCATCCCCCACTGAAAAGGATGTTGCTAATGCAGAGGTTTTTGAGCCATTAAATATTCCTCCACTGCAGATATTTCAGATTAGTTCTTCTAACGCTTTACTGAGATAGATAAGCCTTTCTGAATCTATGCTATGAGTATTGTAAAGATTTTCTATGTCAAAAAAAAATTGTATTTTTAATGATATTTCGTTATATTTATGATTGATTGCCATGAAAACGACACAGATACTTTCATATGTGATTCTTTTAGAAGGCTGGGGCTGTTTCAGGGGTGGGCCGTGGGATTAGATGAATAATATCTATTAATAAAAGTAAAGCTAAAGCTATTTGTGCAACTCCACGATGTATCAACACCCTTCAGCTGTACTTTAGTAAGCTCAGACGAGCGTGGCAGCTCTTAACCAATGTGGTGTCAGGTCTGGACAGAGGTCCACACGCCTTACAGGGCACGGAACTTAAATCCAAGAAACTGCTGCTTCAGTCACAGAGGTATTAACAACAAACCTGTATTTACAGAACAAGCCGAACGATCATGCTGTAACAAGTGTAGAAATCTACCAATTGTCTGTAAAGCTGCAAGCTCTCCCCTGTGCCTGCAATTCGAGTCTGTTGATCCCGCCCGTGCCTGCAGAGTCCCGGCTCCAGCAGCAGCCGGGCCGCCCGTGCCCTCTGCTGGAGAAAGCCGCGGATCGACGCTCTGACTGCATCTCAGCTGGGCATGGTGCTCAGCCACTGAAATTCCTGCTTAAAAACACAAATAACCCCCAGAACATACTGAAGGCCTATTTACGACAAAAAAACCAACCAAACAAACCCCCCACGAAACCAACCAACCAACCAACCAACAAAAACCACCACAAAAACAACCAAACAGAAAAACCCAAACAAAACAAAAAACCCACCAAAAAAAAAATTCCACAAAAAAACCCACCAATGAGCAATTCCCCCTGATAAGTCCCTATTTTATATTTTTACATGTATTGTAGAAGTAATCTTCTATGATGGATGCAGGACAGTCTTGTCCTTGGAAATGAAACTGAGTTTGTTATAGAGATGAGCAAGGCCAAGATTTGAAAAATCCCAGAAATTACGCCTTTAATGTCCTAATACAGGTTTGGGGTATGGTTGGGGTTTTTTTGTGGGGGGTGTGGAGGAGGGCTGGAGATTGATGACACCTTCACAGTAAACTTACATTCCTGAAATAGTAAGAGAGAGTAAAGAAAGCTCATTTCTGAGACAATTTTAAGGTAGTCTTTCATATTATAATTTTTCATTCTCTGTGAGCCGGGACAGTAAGAGAGTGCAGTGTCCTACTGTTCTAGGAATTTTGCTTAATGTTTTACCTAACAATATATGACCGACCCATTATTCTGAAAGAATTTTCATATACCAACAATAAAAGATTAATTTATTTTATACCTGCAGGTTAAAGAGGAAGTCTGCAAGTCAACTGTGTCTTCCATAAGCTCTTTATCTTCAAGGAATACTGAAATAATTTCAAAGAAATATAAAAGGATACAAATTTATTCAAATATATACACTTGGAATTTAAAAATACATTACTCTTTTTCTAAAGGACCAAAAAGTTTAGCATTTGAGACACCAAAAATGTAGAGTGACTTTAGTTGGATCACGGGTTCAATAAACATAACTTTAAAAATGACAGACATGTTATACGGTAAAATGTTTTTGTAAGTGACCTCATACACTTCCGCACACTACCAAATTCATAGAAAAATGATCACATAAATATTTTATGCTTATTTCACACAGGATTTTCAAGTTAACTACATACCTGTCCAATACTGACTGACTTTGTTCTTCAAGCAGCAATTTAAGAGTAATTATTGTTAGAAATTAGGATGGTAAAACACTAACTATTCTGGATTGAAAAAAACCCCACATTTTAATTCCAATCAGATCGTTACTAAAATCATGCACATTGTCCTTCAAAGCACAGCATAGTCAAGGGTTTTTTTCCTGGTAGCTATACTGATTGCAGTATGGAGCAGTTACTCCTTACAAAGAAATGAGAACACACAGAAAAAAGCATTAATTGCCCCCCCCACACACGGGTCCGATGCATACACTGTGTCCCACTTCCTGCCCCCTGTGTGCAGTAGCCTCTTGCCAGGGGCCATGTCTTTTCGGCTCTGTAAAGGCATCAGTGACCTGACAACAGCTGTGGCACGGCCACTAACACCCCTAACAGGTCTTTTCCCCTCCTCTTGGAAAGCATGGATTTCTTGAGGGAGAATGGGATTAAAGTAACTCTGTTATGCCCTCATGGGATTATTTTGGTGACACCATCACCTACCCCAGGATGAGCAGTGTCTGCTGGATCAGCTGTGGAGCCATCCTGCATTGGACTTGACCAATGGAGAGTATAACTGGTAAACTCAAAAATTTGTCACATAGTTGGAATGGGTTTCTTTTCCGAATTCTAGAAAAACTTCTCAGGTCAGGACAATATAAGCATTTCATTTCATCTAGGTGATGACAACTTGGTACTGATCTAAGTCATGAAGCAATACATTATCTAGATGTTTAAAATACATCACCTCACTGCTGAAGATGTTCCCCTTTTATTCCACCAACCATTAATCTTCATAAACTTCATACAATGAAAACACAAAGACTAAAATAATTACATAAAAAGGTTATCTTTATTCCTTTGGGTTGTTAGCAATGCAGTTATTTTCAGTAAAACAGCTTCCTGCATGCAGTTCTTCAGTACAATGAGCCAATAATTTGTATAAAAGCAGGAGCCCATCTATATTCTAGAATAAAGAAGAAATGCAAAGTATTTCACTGCCGATTGCACAAGTTCACTATTCATCCTCGTGAAGGAAGATTTTGAATAACAAATTTTATTTAAAGCATTTCTACTGCAGTGTGTACCAGTAAGCAAAGCAGACAGTGTGAGACTAACTCTGGGGAAAGCAATGTTTTCATGACTACGATTACCCTGAAAATTAACCGGATTATAATTAAAAAAAAAACAGCCAAACAAACCTTTTATCTTGTTTCACATAAAAAGACCTACTTAGTGATCAGAAAAATAACTGTACTGTCCATTTCTTTTTAAATTATTCCTTATAAAATGCTTTTAAAATAATTTGCAGGGACTTCCAATTACCAATTCACATTGTATCTTAGGCTTCCCAAAAGTAAAGTGTTAAAGACAGACATCAATAAAAATTAATAACAATATGAAGATACGTGCAATTTTTTATAAAATGTTATAAATTAAAACTAGTTTCAAAGCAACAAGAATAGATCAATAGATAAATAAAAGTTTTTCTAGCCCCACATTTTAAGCCATGTATTTGTCCTGTATAGTCCAGTAATTTACTGCATATTTGCTGATTACAAAATTCAAACAAAATAAAATATTTAATAGCAGCAGCTATTGCTTACTGGTATGAGGAATGATGGTCTTGTTGAATAGTTTTTTTCTTTTTACCTCTCACATGTCTTCCTATCTTAAACTTTATCAGTTGTAGGATAATAGCAGCAAGCATGCATCAGTTAAAGCTTCCCAATTATTTGGAGTATTACAGAATATATCATAATATCTATTGAAATTTAATAAACTAACTTACTAGGGTACATATATGACACATACAGAGTCATTAGGTCATTGTCTCTTTGTTCAGAAAGGTACTGTTGTGTAAACAATTGATTAAATAGCAGAGGATATTTTACTTACATGAATAGTGTCAGCTTGGATGACAAAAAAAGTCATCTAAAACACAATGCAGGACAAAGCTGATGTAAGTACATCATCTTAGCTTTCTATAGAAGATTTCATTACAGTGGAAACCTGACTAAAGTGCCATAGGGAGTGTCAAAACCAGCTCTGACCTACTTATTTTGTGTTTCTGGCATAATCCATCCTTCCAAAGCATAGAATTTTAAATCTGAGGTATACATTAAGGGAGTATTTGCCCCCAAAGCTACTCTGCTATCAATTTATTCACATAGCTTTGATTACTGTCCTAAGTGGGATATACTCATGAGGAAAAAGAAGTGTAAATACAGACTCTGGAATGAAGTATGGAAACTACTCATGATATTACAGGGTCTACAGGTTAAAAAAAAAAAAAAAAAAAGCTTATCCCTTTTTTTTATTCTGTATAGTTTCCTATAGGCACAATTTGGCATTTGTAGCTTTTCTGTGAAAAAAAATATTTGAATATCTCAGGAATTATGAGGCATCTTGTACTCTGAAAGGAACGGGTCTTTTTCCATAGTCTCATGATTTTTGGAATGGGAGCTGTGTGTAGCACCATTTATTTAAATCACTGTATCTGAAATGGACAGTATAATAAATGAAGAATTATTAAAAGGTATTAAAAGTAAGTATATGAAATTCAAAAGACTAAGCTACCAACCTCTTTTCAGTGAAAATTGTTCCCTTGCTTTATTTTTCTGATAAATTTTCTATCTAAACTCTGGGGTTTTTTTTATAATTTGCTAATTGGATCTAGATCGTGAGGTTCAACAATCTGGGATCTTAGTTTTTCTGTGTTTAGAGTTGGCTTCAAGAGAACTATGCTCATATTATGATGTTATAATCACATATTCTGACATTTATGTTTCTCTGCATACAGAGTATTACTTAGCATTTAGCATTTATCTAAATAAAATGTATTTAGATTTTTTTCTCACGCAGCAGAATTACTGATAGCTGTGTGTGATTAAAGCAAATACGACGACAAAAAGAAGCCCCTGACATGCATGGAATGCAGGAGATGAAATGTACTCGGTGGATACACTTATTCCACAAAAATACACGCTTATAAGGATTGGTAATTTTTCACTCTGTTAAGGGTTCCTACAGTCCAAGTACAAATTTTTTGTCTCCTCTCTGTTAATGACAGCTGATAATCAAAATGATTGTTCTGCAGGTTTGTTTCCCTGTTACAAATTGAGAGTTTACCAGTGAAGGGTCATAGTCTTGGTACAGGCACTGACTATAGCAGTGGGCAAATATGTAAAAACTTGTAATTTTGGCATAATGTTCCAATAAGAATGCTATTGATAAAAATGTCATCTTCTCAGGCTTGTTAGCATTTATCATGGACAACCTCTCTGCTTTTTACTTTTTATTTCCTTTTCTGTCTTTTCCCTTGTCTTCTTTTTCTGATTTGTCATCTTCGTATTTTTCTTTTTCTGGTTTTGTTACACTGTCATAAGAAGGTGGAGCTCTGGTGGATGCAGACATATCCATGTTCTCTGGGGGTGAGTTTTCACTTAGCTTACCAATAATCATATCTTTTTTGATAAGCAGATCAACCTCATCTTTCCGATATATAAATGAAAGTTTCTTTAATGACTGCCTTAAAAGATGACGTCTGTAAGCACGCTGAATGATTGCAGCAGACACTTCTTCATGTTTTCGTTTCAGTGTGGTTGTAATTGGTTCATAGGAGACTTTAGAAGGATTGGCTGCCATAAACCGATCTTCCATCTGTATTCTGAGGGCATCCATCTCATCACTTTCCCCTAAAACACGCTTTGTGAAAGCAAACAGGATGTCAAGGCAGTGAATTCTGTCACCACTCACCATGGGCAGATCCATCGCAATGAGCTGAATTGTGTTTGGTTTTGGTATATTAAGAGGAGGATCTAGAGAAGCTGCAAAATCCGACAATTTGCTAAATTCTATGAATTGTGTTGCATCGGGATCGTATTTTTCCCAAACCTCATAGAACATCTCGAAGTCATCCTCACCCAAGGGTTCAGCACTTTCTTCAGTAGCAACACCAAAGTTCTCCAAAATCACAGCAATGTACATGTTCACCACTACCAGAAAGGAGATGATGATGTAGCTGACAAAAAAAAAGATCCCAACAGAAGGGTTGCCACAGTCACCTTTCACAGAGCTCCCCGGATGATCTTTATGGGGATCGCAGTCGGGCTCCCCACTGTTCAGGATTGGGGCAAGCAAAGCATCCCAGCCAGCAGAGGTGGTGATCTGGAACAGGCAAATCATGCTGTTGCCAAACGTTTCAAAATTGAACATGTCATCTATACCAGCTTCCTTCTTCACATAGGCAAAGTTGGACATGCCAAATATGGCATAGATGAACATGACCAGAAACAGCAGCAGACCAATGTTGAACAGAGCAGGAAGAGACATCATCAAAGCAAAAAGCAGAGTGCGGATTCCCTTGGCGCCTTTAATGAGGCGCAGGATTCGACCGATTCTGGCAAGTCTTACAACTCTGAACAAAGTAGGGGACACGAAGAACTTCTCAATCATCTCAGATAGGAACATACCTGTGAAACAAAAGAATAAAATTAAGAGAATAACTTTTTAACACAGATTACATTTTCCACAATAAAATGTGACCAAAATGCAACTCTAGTTGTGGAATTAGTGGAAATTATAATTGAAGATTAAATTTTAACTGCTATGAGTAATTTAAGATTATTTTCCCAGCACTCTTAGAACAACAAAAAAAGAGCAAACCCTAGAAGTATTAAAACTGATACAGATCTATTAAGAAAGTTACTACTCTCAAGTATGATTTTTATTTCCTAAATAATCAATAGAAATTAAAATTAAGTAACTCCTTTGGTTTGCATAACTTGACAGAGATAAAGCGTTAAATACACATCTAACTATATTTCATTTTAGATATAAAAATTTCTTACCTACTATTGAAAGAATAACAACGACAAAATCAAAAATATTCCAGCCAATGGTGAAGTAATAACAACGGAGTGAGAATATTTTGAAGACACATTCTCCAGTGAAAAGGACAACAAAGACCAAGTTAATCCAGTATAAAATATTTTGCATCATTTCACTCTGGTCATCTGTTTCTATCATCATTGTGACCATGTTAAGACAGATGAGAACCATAATGGTAATGTCAAATGCTTGTTTTGTTACAATATCAAACACCAGACCTTGCAATTTGTTCTGAGGGGAGAAAAAAGAAAAGGTGATAGTATGTTGTATGTAATGAACATCCTTTTCCTCCCTCCTATTTCCTTTTTCCTCTCCCAAAATAATCATCATCATCATCATCATCATGGCTAGGCTTCGCGAACGAAGATTTGAGAAGGGCTCTACCCACGCTTGCTACAAGTGCACTGATGGCTAAAAAGGCCAATGCGAGATAGACAAATCTGGTTGCAGAATATATCCCAAAATATATAACCAAGCAAAAGGCTGAAAAATCTAAGAAAAACACTGTCCAGTAACTTCTTTATTTGCCAGTTCTAAGTATTCCCCTGGAAACCTACAGGCTTATATTTCTTCAGACTCTTTGATTCTCTGCTTCCTCAGGCACAACAAATATGAGAGATTTTTCCTGCAGAATAGACATATGTACGTGGTTCATTTCAGAATGAACAGATAACCTGAATTATGCCTAAACCCTTTTAGAGTCAAGGGAGAATTTTTTTGATAGTTAATGTACTGCTGCCATTTCTTCCCAAATATAGATGATAGAAGAATAGCACACATTCTTACCACCGGTCTAGGTATAGGTTTTTGTGGTTTCTTGGATCCCAGCTTCTTCATTGCATTGTAATATTTTTTTTGTTCTTCTGTCATGAAAATGTCTTGACCTCCAAGGTAAAATAATAAAAAAAACCAAAACTGATTACAGCCAAGGCTTTAAATCCATTATTTCACAGCATTGCAGACATGGTTTTAAGAAACCCTTTATTCATTCTTACACATTGTTAACAAAACCAAACATAGTAATTACTTCAAAGATTGTTAAAATCTCTAGGGAAAAATAAAACACATTAAGGAACAAAGAACCCCCCCAGAACTTCTACCTATTTGTTATGTTAAAAAATACATACCTGATTAATTCAATTAAAGAAGTATGAAAAAACCCCAACTTGTAAAATATACATTCCATGGATACTTAAAAATCTAGCAATATTCCAGTATGATTCTGCTCCAAATGTGCACAGAAAAATAAGACTATTATAGACCTTAGGCAGCATTTACAGTTTAAACAGCAAGTACTGGTGTTCCTGACACGATCCTGTGTTCATTTGAATAAGAGAAACTATTTTAGTTGAAAAGAAAAACTGCATATTTTCAATTGTCATAGATTTTTTTTTCTTGCAAACTCACTACTAATTCAAGAATTTGCCAACCCTCTTTAGTCTTACAGTATAGAGCAGTATTTCCAGCACTCAACTTGTCTGAGTGTCTGTAATTGAGAAGGCCTTTACAGTACTGCTATATCTCCTTATCAATTTTGATATTTATAGTTTTGCATATTCTCTTCTTTCCTCTCATTTATTTGCTTGACTTAAATCATCTGCATTTTCACAAAGCTTTGTCTCAGCACTGTAAGAGTAAGAAAAAACAAAGGTGTAACTTTCGGATGTACAGCATATCACTGGGCTGTACAGGAATGCTGACAACACTCAGACACTCAGTGTAACTTTAAATTACTTCAAATGCCTTAAAAAGAAACTGCTATTATTTCATTATTTTGAATAAACAGAAATCTTAACAGCTGATTTCTTTTTTTCTATTACTATGAGAAGTTTCAGTTTTATCCTTGCATACATTTTTTGAGTGCTCAATAACAATAAAGTGTTGTGAAAATGAAATATTTGATACTTATCTTCTTCTTTTGTTGGTTGAAGTTATCTATGATGACACCAATAAATAAGTTTAGGGTGAAAAATGATCCAAAGATGATAAAGGCAACAAAGTAAATATACATGTACAGGTTGTCCTCATACTTGGGCTGCCTCTCTGCCTATGTAACATAGAAAAACAGCAACACATCACAAGTAACAGGTAAGACAAATCACAGTATACCAAGCAGGAATAGAAGTGACATCCAGATGGACAGCAACTCTCTGTCAAGGGGGTAAACCCGAATTTTTTGAAAAATACCCTACACTTGCCTTATAATTTCAACTTGAAAATCCCTTTAATACACATGTCTGTAACTGCTCACACAGATCTGCCATTCCTCCCCTTCCTGTCTCCCCTCTCTGTCTATCCCTTTTAATGACATTTGACATTTTATATAGGTACTACTAAATTTGACAGAAACGTACAAATCTTAAACCTCTCAGAAGCAATTCAGTTCCTATAGACTTCATGCAAATCAGGAGTTGGATAGAGGAGAGATGCAAACAAATATCAGCATTAAAAGAGAACCAGGTAAAATTTAGCCAATTTGTTTTTTGACAGTAGAGTCTGCAGCTCTGGATTAGCTATTGCAGGGATGCCACTTGACTATTTGGGTTATTTTTGAAGATACAGGTAAAATAATCTCACTGAGATAAATTATTAGGAAACCAGATCTCATTAGTTTTGAATTTTCAGATGACTTATTAAATGAGTAATACTTTATGTAGATCTACGGCTATAATTTTTTTTTACCTATTAAAAGTGCATGCACTTTGTAGTGCATAGGTTTATATAGAAAATTTATCAAGGTTTTACATTTTAATTTTTTATACTTTAGTTCATTTCAACTGCCATTCAAGAAGCATCACATCAATCGCATATTTGTCTTCACTCAGTAAATTTTTTTACTCGGTAGATTTTATATTGCACTCACTTGTGTAGAATCAACCGCAGCGTACATGATGTCCATCCATCCTTTAAATGTTGCCTAAAAGCAAAATTTGTTGATATTTTCTATCAAAGCTCCAATTATGAAAACATTCTAAATAAAACGTGTCTTCTGCTATGTAATTGCACAAAAATAAAGAGAAATGTTAAAAGTCTGGTAGGTTACAAGTGAAGCATTCATAGGAAGGTGTTCTAGTCCTCTGATTTTTTTCTTGGCCATCCTCTGGACCCAGTCTAAGAGGTCTGTATCTTCCTTGTACTGGTAAGGCCTCGTAAGAATGGAGTGTGTGGGGAGAATCACCTTACTCATCTGTTGGCCAGAATTCTTGTTGTCCAGCCCAGGATATGACTGACTTTGCAATCAGTCCTGTGCAATCGCGTGCAAGCACATATTGCCAGCTCATGTCCAGTTTTTCTCCACCAGTATTCACAAGACCACCTTTGTGGAGTTGACCTCAATTCATTCATTCTCCAGTATTTACTGATAGTGGGGACTGTCCTGAATCAGGTGCAGGACCTTGCACGTGGCCTTGCTGAACTGCATGAGGTTCAACAACCTTGAGCCTGCTGGGGTCCCTCAGGTTGGCATCCCCTCTAAGCATATCAACTGTACCACGCAACTTGGTGTCATCTGCAAACTGTTGAGGGTGCACTCAATTCCATTATTCATGTCCTTGGAGAAGCTCTTAGATGGTATTGTTCCTAGGGCAAACCCTTGAGAGACACCACTTTTTACTGGTTTTCACCTGGACAGTAAGCCGCTGACCGTAAATCTTTCAACACAGTCAACCAGCCAATTCCTTATCCTTCTAGTGGGCCTTCATCACTCTTACTCCTTTGAGCAATGGCACTGAGTGCATACAAGGTGTGAATGGTATGTTTACTGTTAACCTTAGAAAGGTGAACTGTATCTGCAAGAAACGTTACCAATGCTATAAGCACTGCCATTCTCTAAGCAGGTAATTTATGCATAGTGCTATTTAGCAACAGCTACTCCTACTCCCTGAAGGAATCAGACAATAGCCTGCAAGCACAATACCAACTATTAAATATTACCAGTTGGAAATTTGTAAAGACAGAATAATTGCCAATTGCTTATGAGCACAAATAAGTTTCCGCAAGCATTTTGTCAAGTGAACTTGATTATAAATATTTGTTTCTGTCTTACTGGTTCCAATTTACAGACGCTGCCTCTAAAAGAGGTTTGTGCCTAGAAAGCTAACACTAATAAATTCCGAATCTAGAGTTTAAAAACAGTTAAGACTTTCTCCAAAAAAAGTCACTTGGCAATAATAGACAATGACTGGAGTACAACTAGTAAGAATAAAAAAGAGAGAGAAGAGAGGAAAAAGTGAATTTAAAACCTTTTTCTAGATCAGTAGTTAGCTTTCTTCTTGTTTGAAGATCAGATGAGCCCTAGAATGTATCTATTTGACTACCATGATAAAAATCTTAGTCAATATGCCTTACCAGATAAAAGAAACAAAACGAAATTAAACCTAGCTCAATTTTTTATCTAGATATTTTAACTAGACACTGTGTTTCTGGAGAATTTAAAAAGGTACTAAGAGTTGGGTTCCAAGGAACTTTATGTCCATCAGGTAAATATGAGATATTCCTCCTCTTCCAAATAGGCCAGAGAATGTAATCAGGATTTTACCATAAGATACATTAATTAGCTTCATAGAAGAGAATTATAAAATCAAAACCCATATCCATTCATACAGTGTAAAACAACACTGAAAATTATGGAATTAAATGTTACTGCTACAAAAAACAAAGCTGGAAAATTTATACACTTACCACTTGAAGCAGAGAAAGATAACCAATTGCAACATTATCAAAGTTTACTTTCACATTTTTCCACCGGACACCTCCAGTAGTCATGTTAATTTTTTCGCACATACTTTTATTACTGACTTCCTCTGGTGTGAATGTCTCATCAGTTGTGGTGTTAACACAGTGATAGAACTTGCCAGCAAACAAATTTACTCCCATGATGCTGAAAACTAGCCAGAATGTAAGACAAACCAGAAGCACGTTCATAATGGATGGGATTGCTCCAGTAAGAGCATTCACAACCACCTAGGAAATAAAAACAGGACAGAAAAAAAACCCAACTTTTTTTTTTATAACAACACAAGGGTTAAATTTTTTTAAATCTAGAAAAAGATTTTATGTAAAACATTACATTACATGGAAGTAATGCAAATAGAAAAGGAGTAATACATGTAATACAATCAAACATGGTACTGTTGGCCTTGAAAAAAGACATGCAACTCAGTGTTCCTCCATGATTTTATAATTAGGTGTATTATTACGGATTTGTTTTACACATTATTTCTTTTTTTTTTTTCCTTACCCTCATGCCTTCAAAGCGTGACAAAGCTCTTAGAGGTCTCAAAGCTCTTAAGGTTCGGAGGGATTTAATTGCACCAAGGTCTGACAAACCAAGGGCATTAGCTACTAAGCTAACCAACGAGACCTAAAGGGGGAAAACAAAAGAACATTTTTTTTTTATCTTTTTTTAAGTAACTTCACAATACAAATATCTCAAGGATGAAAAATTTTGATCTGGATATTGGGAAAAAAGTTTATACAAGGTCCCTAATCTTCCAGCAAGAATAAATAAAAAAAGAACAAAACATGAGAAAAAAATCTGTACAATGTTGCATGTAAATTTCAGAACAGCTTAAACAAAATGATACCTTAATCTCTGGAATTTTCATCACAGAGTTCTTGTTAGAAGAATGTCTATCATACTTGTGCAAAATGAAGGGTAATTTGGACAAAAAGAATCTGAATAAAAGCTCAGTTTCCCAATAAATTCAGTCAATGCCTGAAATGTACTGAAAACCTAATCCCATCCTACAGGACACATTACAGTACTAAACAGTGCTTTACTATAATTTACTATAATTTAAATAATTTCTTTGGAGTGAAATTTCAACACTAATTTTTACTGCTATTGTTGAAGAACAATGTGCCCCCATAGTTCTTTGCCAGTGACCCACTGAGTTCAGGATCAGCTCTCCTACTGCCCTACTACCCCATGTGCTCTCTTTAATTTCCCTTTCCTTCCTGTGTCTGCTTCCTCCTTGTTCTCCGTCGCCATATCCAGAAGACTGAAGTCAAAGCAGTTGATAGTCCTCACTCACCAAGCGTAACCCAGAGTAGTAAGGCACAGAACACACGGAGCCAATGATGGCACAAGGCCAGATTCAGTTACTCACTGGGTAATTACAGTGGAATCTTATTCACAAGTATGTAATTTTCTGTTCTTTTAAGCCCAATTTATATTCTTCACTGTATACGTATCATATTGGAGTTACAAAAAAGGACCTGCCTAAACAACAAAAATAGACTACTAAAAAGTATAGTACCTACATCAACAATCAGGAAGTCCAGCCAGCACCAAGCATTAGTGAAGTAAGTCTGAAAACCGTAGGCCACCCATTTTAGCACCATTTCCAGAATAAAGACATAAGTAAAGATTTTATCAGCATATTCCAGTATGATTTTTACAGTCTTGCGCCGTTCAATATTTATATCTTCAAAAGCCTGTGAAGAATGGGTTTTATATATAAGTCAGATATCAAAGTCTTTGCAAATTACAAATTAAGCCAGAAATGAATTAAAACAGCAAAGTAGAATCACTTTCAACCTGAGATCTTTTACCTTGAAAAACCATTATGATCAGAAACTACAATCGCATTCTTTCTGAGTTTTAGACTGTGTCATTGTCTGATAATGGAATTACAAAAGTTTTTAGAAATTTCAGTAATACTCAACACTGAAAAGCACAGTCAGGCTTAGTCAGGAGGTAGTCTCATTATTGCATTAACTTCAATTAACAGAAGAGAATAATGAGCTACAGAGACCAGATATTATGTTGCTGATGATTCTTGCTGAATAAGGTGCTGATGGCAAGGTTTTAGTAGTGGGAGGTTGTAGGTGTGGCCACTGTGAGAAGAGACCAGGGGGCTGCTTTAGGCTGGCTCCACCATGGACCCAACACTGCAAGCAGCTGAGCCCAACAGTAAAGCTGGTGGTGCCTCTGGGAAAATATATTAAAGAGCTGGCAAAACATCACATGGCAGTATGAGTACTGAAGGAAAAAAGTGAAAAAAACTACCCTGTAAACACCAAGGACAGAGAAGGAAGGGACATGGTGCTTTAAGTGTTGGAACCAAGATAATGACAGTATATTCCAAATTCTATATCAATCAACAACCAAAATGAACCCGAACTGTGGGAAGGACTAAATATCACTAAGAATAGTATAAAGGAATTCAAGAATTCATATGTAACAGGCTAGAAATACTGAAACTAAAACTATAGGAAAAAAATTATGAGAGCATGATGAATTTAGTATCTATACTGCTTTTGGGGACAATTTTATTTTGAAGTAGAATAATTGCTTCCTTTATTGCACAAAATCAATTTTTCATTACTTTTATAATTTCTTAAACAAGGATTTTAGCATAATCCTTTCCATAAACACACACATTACCTTGTATTAATCAAAAAATTCACCTGCAAAATTTCAAGGACTTATGTTAAATGTTAATACCTGAAATAATCTGAGAATTTAGGTCCAAGTTCTCTTTCAAGACAACGTTGTATTTTTTCTTAATGAAAACATGTGTTATAATACTACCTTTGATAACACATTTTTATAGGTACCATTCCTATGGGTGCAAGCTCGACTTACCAGAGCACCACTGCTGAGAAGAATCATGAAGACAATAAATGTTTCAAACCAGTTGTGTTCTACTATCTTGTAACAGGTTTTTCGAAGCTTCCACCAGATTCTTCCTTTTGTGCTTTCCGTACTGCCTCTACAGCATTTAAACTTCCGTATACAGCCTAGCAGTACAAAAATTTACAAATTTTTATATGGTAAAATTTTTATTATTCTGAAAAATCAAATTATTCCTAACTAGCTCCTGTTTCAAGAAGTTCAAATTACTCCACTTTGCACTTCAAATTACCGCATGCTACTTAAAGCATACTTAACTTTCTCAATTTTATGTTTTGGATGTAGGAAAATTTGCATGTGCACAATTTTTTCTCTACTCTGATGCAACATCGAGCTTATAATAAAAGAGAGTAATCTATTTTGGCTAATTTTCATTTACAAACACATTTTAAAAATATTTTTCAATTTATATACAGATAATCAAAGAACATTTGAGAACTATCAGGGACTAGAAACAGACCATACACAATAACTTTCACATCAACTAGTTCAAGAGTACAGAAGCTCCTTTAAAAAGAAATTTTGCTTCTCAACTAAGGTTCAAACAGACACAGACCCTAATATATTACACTGAGGAAAAACTGCTGCTTCAAGGGCTAACTAAGGATAACTCTTTCATGACATAAACAGGTGTTTTACTGGAGATTGTGAGAGCTTTTCCATGTGATACAGATTTGTGGCAACCATCCACACAACCATCCCCATCTACCATGGGGCCCTCAAGACATCATTTTCAATTAATATCAGTATCTGCTTAGCCAATTGTAGCCTCCTTAATACTTTAAAAATTATTAATATCATAAAAACATAACCAAGTCAAAACTAATGGGTCCCAAATGCATTCTGGGTTTCCTGTGAGTGTCATTAAGTTGACATGTTACAAGTAAGTTACACTATGTTTCATCAGCTCAGATAAAACAGCTACCACTGTGAAGAACATGGTTAACTTCACCTTCAACTAGTCAAAATGCTTACATGATGAAAAAAGGAATCTTGTGCCCAAGGACTTACAGATATCACATAATGTAAGTATCCTCTCACTCCATTAATGGTATAATGTAAAGATAATAACTATTGTTAGAGTCAAACTTTCCAAGATCTGAATCACCCACTGGATTGATTTCTAGTATTAGGAAGTGACTGTGAGTCAGTAACCATGATTATGGTTTAAATTTCTCAGTGGAAGGTACCTTGTGGAGGGCTTGGTCTTACAGATTTCACTACTGACAATGTAATTCAAATCCACAGAACTACTGATGGCTAAGAACCAGTTTACAGAATTGTGCCTAGTGATTATTTTTAAAATATCATAAATGATCACATACGCACATATTTATCTTTGCATCACACAAATGGCTCAATGGACTTCAGTATAACTATCTACAAAAGGCAAAATTAATTGTACCCTAAGACTTGACAAATTAGGATCCAGGGCGACTGTAACCAATATCTTCCTTGAACTACCAGTTTGTTGCAAACAAGCAAAATTCAATTTCTAACCCTAAATTTTATTTCCATACCTTCTGTAAAACATGCCTGTAGTTCTGATGCTTTTTCTGGCTCGGTGTCAGCTTTTTCTTCTCCAAAGACAGCTAAATTAACTGTACTTCCTTCAGATGAGCTGGAAAAATTTAACTTCTGAAAGTAAAATTCGATAACATTTTAACTTTTCTAATATTTACATTTTTAGAACTGTAATTAACTTTAGGCATGCAACACTGTGTACCAGTAATAATAAGAACAATATTTGTCACCAGAAATACACACAAACACCCACATGTAGCAGTCAATGCTGTTGAAATGTGCATAAATCATCCACTTTCTACCCAGAAATTGCAAGACATATCATGTAATTTTTCATGGAATTTCAGAATTTCTAGTCTAAATATAGTACAGTGTGATCATTAATCAAGGTTAACTGTTACCAAGTTGATTTGTTGATACATATTCTATTTATTTTGTTTTGTGCTATTACTTTCTTATACATTTCAACTGGCATTAATTTGCATTCTTTTTTGCCAATGCACATATGTAGTACATTGTGCATTCTGAAACTACCCATTACTCTGGTACACATACCTGTACAGTCAACACCCAGAAAGAAATTTTTTTTTGTTTTAATAATTGAAATTACAAAAGTCACATTAGGAAAACAAAACAAAACAAAACCGAAACAGCATAATAAAACAAACAAAACCCCCAAAACAACTCAAACAAACTCCCCCATCCAATAAAAGAATAAGTCTTAATTTATTTTTTATTTTGTAATCTGCCTGTGTTTTGCAAAGTCCATAGTCTGGAGATTTTAAAGGAAGATGTGGTGTCCTGTACACTTATCCCAAGTATGAGTACCAAACTAAGTCAAAGTAGTTTTGGCCACAGCATTCTCTGACATTTTATAATGTTTTTATCAAGAAGTATAAAACATCAGTAATGAAGTAACACAAGTAAATGTCTGTAGGGAATGATGTAAGCACACTTTATAAAACAATCTTGGTTTTGTCAAATCAACACCATTTTCATTAATTTAGTTAGTCTTGCATGATTAAGAGATACTTATGATACAAAAGCAGAAAAGTTACTATCCAATCAAGTTGTATTTACAGCTCAATTGTGAAACGTGAAAGGACAAAATTTTTTTCAGCATTAAACAATTTTTTCATGTTTTTGAAAGACAGACAATACAATAAGTAACCCAGTATTCTGCATTTACTTTTTTCAAAAACAGTTAAAAATGGTTTTGTTATATTGCCTACTTAGCTGCTACTTTTTTACAAACTGATTATCTGGAATTGAAGGCCCATATTACTCATGTCCACTGTAAACATGTCTTGTTATTTTTAGAAGCATTAATTTTACAATAGCAGTATTCACAGATCAACTATTCCTATCATTAATTCTTCTGAACCTGAGGATAGCACTATATGCTCTCCATAATTTTATTAATATGCTGCTTTCATCATTCCACGACATAGCAAATATATTGCAAAATGTTGCAGCAGTGGTGGGTAAACTGAAATTCTTAATTGAATTGTAAATCAAATTATTAATTTCAAGAAATACATTTTTTAAGCGTACGGAAGTTTTGTGTCATATTGCTAATAAAAATTACAACCAACATGAAGTACCCTGGGTCATTTTAATTGTAAGCTTAGTACATTGCCTGAGCAGATGACATGAATTCAACTGAAAGAATATGAGATGAACAACCATAAATACAAAAGGAACTGAAAAGAATCAATGTGTTTGGAACATATCTCCTCTAACTCATAGTGGAAGAATCAGAGACTAGAGCTTTTTTTAAATTTAGTTTTAATTAAGAAAATCAATTTTCTTGACTCTAGGATCAAATCAGAGATTCCATGAACTATTTTGATATAAACCAGGTAGTCTGGTTAGTGACTTTCTTTGTCACGAATGTGACAGTCTTTCACTAATGTGAAAGTCTTCCTTCTATAGACAGTGTAGGATATAATCCTACTGCTTGGAGAGTCATTGATTTAATTAAACATTGGTTCTCTTTTTCTATGTAGGATACCCATATTTTTCACTAAGATGCAAGTATCAAATAACAAAAAAAACACCCAAACAACAAAAAGAGATTGTAAAAATAATATACATAGAAGAGCTTCCTGTTCTAATTAAAAATCTGAAAGCTAGTTTCTTCGCTATTTAGAAAGTTTGCAGAAATCTAACTGATTATAGGAATCACTCCAGGAGAGGGACTTCTGGGAAAGACAGAAATGTTCATCCTTTACCTTCCAGGGCACATAGCTGCTGCTCAAAGTTTGCCTGATTGAGGTAAGAAGACCACATTGTATATACACTAAGCACTGGATTGAATGGATTAAGTGACATACTCAGAAGCTGATTAGTGGCCTTGATGTTTTCAAAATCAGCACTAAATCATTTTTGTTAGAAAAATTCCCTCACTATAATATCCTTCTTTCTCTTTCACTGCTGGCAGTGAAAAGTTATTCAGATTTTGAACACTTTAGTTTTTTCAATATAAATATCTCCCATACTGTTACAAGGTCAAAATCTGATGCTTATGATCTGGCTGTATTCCTGAAAGAATCAAGGTGTAATGGCACAAATATTTGCAAGAATAATGTTACTACCACAAATTGTTCCACTGAAGCTCCAAAGCAAAGAACAAAAATATGAGCAATACAGTTGTTAAGAGGAAGAAAAAGATTGTCTTGTGGAATTTAAAAAAAAAAAACCACACATCAACAACAAAAAACCCCAACTCACTGGATGACTGTGCTGCATACTCTCATAATTTTATTTAGTAAGGTTCTCTTTCATGCTTTTTAATTTAAGACTACCAAGTATCTTTTTGCTGAAGAAGAGGTAAAGAACTACAGTAAAATGTGAAAGACAATTGCTGATAACAGTGCTTTGGAGAATATGGTTAGGAACCTCTTAGAAGAGAGGATCCAAAAATATTACTATATAGAAACACAAGAGGAAGCACCTGGGTTGGATTTTTTGATATTCCATCCATTGGCTATCTGCCTAATCAATCAGATCTATTTTTAAATTGAAATACTTCTTCAGTTAAAAAAAAAACACCACTATTTTTTCCATTTAGTGTCAACTATTACTGAAACAACAAAAAGGACACAAAGCACATTTTTTTGTAATCATCATTTTGACTTATCGCTGAGTAGGGTACTCTTCAGCATAATCAGTTAGCAGTCACTTTTATTGGGACCTTTTCATTTCTGAAAGAATAAAAGTAACCATGCCTACAGTTTAAGCTTACCTTTTAAAGAAACCAAAAGAGTCTCCATAGAAAATACTTTTTTTTCAACAAACTAAACTCAAAACCTACCATTCCTACTTTATAACTTAGAAAAAATTTGGCATGTGTATCTATTAAAAAAAGCATCATCTTACTATGCAAAGAGGGATAAGTAAGATAAAGTGACATTCAGATGATTACAAGCTCCTGCTTCACTGGTTTGTGTGCTGCTCTGCACTTGTCCAGATTCATGCCAGCAGAAGCTTGAAGCAGGAGCAGTGTCACATAAACAATATCCATCAAATGGGACTAATTCCCCCATACTTGGGACCACTAGGATGGGATACTCTCCCGTTTTTTCTTTTAGAAAAGTGCCTTTTCTAAAATGATTTGGAAAATCCTTAAAAAGATATTTTTACATTCCTTCTTTCTGAACAGCTTACAGGCCCCCCTTGGACAAAAAAAGTGAGGCCTAAATCTTTCCAATGTATAAAACAGTTCCACAGAACACATGAAAAATAATGTAGGATTCCATAACAAAACCACATAAACAGAATTTGTATTTGGAAAAGGAATGACCCCAATATGACATAGAGAGGAAGTGTCCAACTGTTCAGAAAGGATCATCAGGAATAAGAATTGCATAGCTTGGTAGAATTAAGATTTATTTTACAGTTCTGGAATTCTTGAATTTAGAGTTTGGTAGGCTTTTAGTATGTATTTTGTCTATTTAATTATTGTCTTAATTTTACTCCTATTCTGGATTTTCCTAATTTTCTATTTCTTCCTTGTTTGAGTTTCCATATTTATATAGTTATAAAAACCCCAGATATATTTAGACAGTTACACAGAAACCTACATAGAATTTTTGATTGAAATTATGTTTTAAGTCTCTCTTTATAAAAATTAAGCAACTGGATTAAGTTCACAGAGAAACAATTATTGACGATGAGGAACAAAACTTAAATAAATGATACCCTAACTTCCAATCTTACAGACATATACAAACTTCGTGAGTAGAATATAATTAAATCATTGCATCCATATTCAAAGAATTATGCATATGTATTTAAAAAATTATTATCCCTAGGAGTGTATCTTTCATCCTATATGAGAAAACTGGAATGTAAATTATAAAAGCATTGAGAGCAAACACAAAACAATTTATATCAAAGATATAAACATTTTAGCATACAAGTAACTGTATATATGTAATATTACAGAGGCATTGGTCAAATGAACATGATCAGAAAATGTTCATAATTACACGACAGCTAAAAACATGGTACAACAGACGACAGAAAACACCGTGAGGACTACCTTTCCATTTTCATAAAATCATAGGTTGCTAACCTCTTTTAACCTTGAAAAGTCTAATGCTTAATAATTCAGTTAATAAAAATAAAAACCTACAAAGCATGCAGGTTATACCACAGAAGTCATACAGAAAATACCAAAGATGTAACAAGGAGAGAAGAACATGTTGGTGTTGCCCTCAGTCATGCTGTGATGTGGGTCATGGGGCTCAGCTTACAGAGCAGCTGGGTATGTTTCCACTATATTGCAACACATGGGGAAAAATATATTGTAGCTGAGTAGCATGCAGGCCAATCAATCTCAAAAATGACCATATATGTATGATTTGTTCAGGTAACCTGTGTAAACATGCTGACACGTTGCTCTGCCTGGTTAAAAAGCACCAGATCTGCATTCTCGACTGATCCAGCTTGATTTTACTCCTGTGAGAAGTAAGAATGGTACGCAATGACGTTAAAACATGGTGCCCTTTACGTTGTTTGAGTTCTGGAAACAGAAGAGTGGATTCCAACTGACTAAAAAATGTGTTTTCTAGATATGACACACATTTGCAAAATATCACATTTACAGCTGTGGGTTAGAGCTTTAAGCATACACAAAGATATAAAGGAAAAGGTAAGATTAGCAGAATATCTGAAGTTCATAGAGGTACGCTGGGCTTGGGCCTGAACATAAAAACACCCCACAAACAAAAACACAAAACCACCATCAAAAATCCTTTCACCCTCAAATCCCCCTCCTCCAAAAAAAATAAAAAAGGTCCCAAACAAAAGAGACAGACATACACCCACGCTGTGTATACTACAGGTTTAAGCAACCATTAAATAGTAGTAGCTAGACCTTTAAAAGGGCAGAAATTTATTTCTCCTTGCATTTCAATGTCAAGCTTATTCTTGGTCTTCTCTAGATGCTAAATATTTATCTAGAAAACACTTTCAGAAAGAAGCTGCAGGCAAAACAAAACAAAAAGTAAATCATACCATGTCTAACATGAAAACTTCTGCGTAAGCAATTTTTCCCATAAACATTATGTTTAACTGCATGACTTTAAAAAAAAATTTCAAACACTTTAAGGTGCATTATGGATTGCAGCAGATATAGAGCAATCAAAAACAAAATCCCACGCCTTACAATAAACATGTAATTTCCTCAAGTATCTCAGACCTATCTTTTCTTAGTCTCCTGTTATAAATCTAATCTCACTTCTCATCAATGACTTCTGAAAAGCTTATCAAATAATGTAGCTATCTGATAACTCCAACATAAAACATAAAAAAACCACTTTCCCATTCAAAGGGAAAGTCTGAAAGGAAGAGCTGAAATAATCTACAGAAGACAATTTCCTTCCTGACTATGAACTAGTTTACATGAAATAGTTTTTCGTTGTTAGTTTGTGTATCTCCTATGGTTGTCTTTCAACTATACCAATCCTCAGCCTCTTTTCCAAAATTGAGTGTGTTAAAATTAATACTAGATAATAGTATCATATAAACAGCTAATACATATGTTTCATCTTCAGTATCAGAGGTGAGAAGACATAGATTTTGTCACCCAATACTTAAATATAAAATAGCGAAGAAACAGGTATCTTCAACTGAGGAATATTTTCCAGGTAAGAGTGAGATTTAATACAGTTATCAGAGCAAGAGTAAATTACCTGGATTCATCAAATACTCCCTTAAAAAACCCCAAATTTTATTAAAACACTAACTCCAGTATCCTTTCGTCAGATTTTTAAAGAAGTTATGAATATCATTTGCTTGCTTTAAAGAGGCCTCTTAGTAATCCACCGTCTTCTCAACTGAGTAGTCGACACAATACATGAAGTAGAGGAATCTCCAAAAAGTAAATAGACAAATTGTCAGAAAATGAGCTGGTGAAATAGCAAAAATAAGTGTAATACTGCTGAATACTGCACTCTACAATAAAAGAAACACCCTTAGAGTGCCTTATTACACCTTTCTAAATGCAATTTCACTACATTTTTCTGGAACAAACTTATTTTCTACAATTTGGAAATTATATAGGCAAATTAATTACCCATTTAAAACAAAACAACTAAAACCCTAAAAAGCTGACGACCAATGAACCCCCCCCCCAAAAAACAATCAACTGAACCCCCAAACACCAACAATCTCCTCCTCGCAAAATCCAAAATAATCCAGGCTGGAGTACAGTTGTCTACACAATCAGTGAACTCTATTAATGTCCTCATGTCTTCAGGTGCCAGAGGTATTGATACCAGACACAGCCTGGTCTTGAGCCACAGATTGCAATCTGAATTTTCAGTGTCTCTCAGGATCCTGCTGAAATCCATAATTTTGCTTTTCCCCCTCAGTCTGCAGTTGCTGACACATGACTACTTCCCTAAAGCTGACCGAGTTTAAAGTCAGGCAGTTGTCTTTGAAGTGACTGCTTCAAAACTCCCACAAACAAGCAAGAAACCAATATTTTTTCATTTAGTAAGTCTTCTTTTTCCCATTAGTTTTTAATTGATGTATTCACCTTATAATACTAATATTGTTCCCTTGGCTCTTCCCCATCATTTTCACTTCAGAACTCGAAAATTGTTGTCACTGCTCTCATTAGCCTGAGTTAGCACCTCTGTTAAGTTTATCCACTAAAAGTAATGTTGGTTTTCCTAAAAGTATTAATATTCTATATTAATTTCTTCTCTGGTATTTTTAAATACCAATTTTCTTTCATCCTTCCTTCACAGATATATTACAGTTATATAAAAAACCCAGTCTTTTAACTGTTTATGCTATACATATATACTAGTTTTTCTGTCTAACTAACAATTTGTAAGAGAGTGTTTTTTCAAAAATCTTTTTATAAATGAGTTCATGGGTGTTTATACAGTTCTGCCTGGATTTCCGGCTCTCTTGAGCTCCACTTGCCCACTTCAGTTTATTCACTCTCAGTACAGTCAAACAATACCAAATTACAAGTGTTTTCCATTCCTAAGGAGGAAGTATCATACAAAGAAATAATACAATTGGTATCAATTAGCTCATAAAAAAAAAAATTTAAATTTTACCTCCTTGCTTTCCTCCAAATCTGAGTCACTGCTAAACTCTTCTGTGTTTAGATGTTCAAAATCAGACTCTCCAACAGCTATTGGTACTGTAACAGTAAGGCTTGGGTTGTTTATGAATGATGTATAATCACTGCCACCTATAACAGTGGCCATTCCATTCTCATTTTTGTGATAATTTGTATCTATCCTTAGTTCAGGGATGGTACACTTGGAAGTATAGTGGTCTCTCTCATCATTCAACTGATCTGTTGCTGTTCTTTGATTTACAACAGCTTGTTTTCTCAAACAAGACTTTCGGACACATTCACCTGCTTTTTTCTTCAGATAATCTATTCCATTCTTAATTCTTGCAACAGCAGTCTGCAAGTTGTTCATTTCATTATCTTCCTCTGTAGCAGCAAGATTGTCTGAACTAAACGAACTCAGCAGCAAGGCCAGAAAAAGGTTCAACACCTAATTTAAAAAAAAATTAAAAAAAAAATACAACAGAGCTGAATTTCTTCAGTTTTCATTCACATGTTTCTATGAACATAGGTTTCATGTTTTCTTTCACAGTATAAGATCCTGGAAATTACATAGAAAATAAAATGCAAATGCAATTTAAGCACAACACCTGCCCTATACCTCAACACGGGGGGGGTTGTGGTTTTGCATTGCTGAAACTTGTAAATTCTTTTTCTGCTCGTGTTTGTACAAGGTCATAAATGAAGGATTCTTTGGTTCTGCTTGAACAGATTCAACACATTTACTGTCCTGGCAAAGCGACGCACTCTGCAACAGAAGACAACTGATCTACGCAGAAAACACATTTCCTACTGGTCCAAACTCACACAAATATTTTGCTGTGTGCAACTTAAAAAATGAGGAGTGCACTCTGTCTGTGCCATCCTCTTCCCACAGCTAGACAAAACCTAGAACATGGAACATGTATCAGTTACATGAGCTCAGGGTCTCCCAGGAACTCAGACACCAAAACAGCGGAGTACCAGCTCCTGAATCTTCAAATCAGCTTTTATACCAACTTGGAAGACAACAGGGTAAAACTTTGTGTTGGGAACACAGAAAGATAAATGGATAAAACAGCCTTGAACATACAGCAGGTATCTCTGCTCACGTAAAAAATCAACTAGAGATATGGAATAAAATCCATATACAGTAAACACTGCAGGACAATTCACAGAGGTGGACACTTCATTGCACAAAGTTCTAACTTCTGGTTTAGAAAACTACTTAAGGCAGAGGTTCTCTTTGGTCAAAAAGCTTCACAGTTCAATCCATTATAAGACAATAGATTTGTAGAAAATACTGAAGCAACTGACTATGCAACCAAAAGCAATGCAGGCCTGGTTTAAAGATAATTAACTTATTTCTGCTATAAATTTTATTCATAAAGAATGCTTCCAGGATGGTCAATTTAAAATTTCTTCTGCTACTGACAGTTGTTTGAAGAGGAGATGTAGAACAATAGAGGAAGACTTAGAAGGCAATAAGAAAAGCAGAGGAAGAAGGCAGAGCAATTAAAGTCTTAAATACTGGTGACTTAATAAATATAAAACTTTAAAAGAGAACTGTATACGCATTTCTGTACACTCTGGTACAGTATCTATAAATAGCATAGAATAGGAAGCAAAAAGGTGAAGAAGTGAAAGAAAGGCTGAAGTAATCAAATCTGGGTTTTTTCTGCATAACAACTAATTCAAGTTTCTTTATACCATTTGTGTGAAGTGCTGGCTGTGCAATAAGGAGATCTCAAAATGGCATACATTTCACAGTTTTATGGATGTTAAAGCAGTCTTTTAGACAGGAGAGAGCAGAAAAAGCTTAAAAAAGTAACCCTGGCTATGTGCAACTGGAATTGATGCCTCAATCAGGTAGGGAGGCCTCTTCTACAAACAGCAAATGCCATCCTGGAAGCCTAAATGTAAGGTGCCTTTATTCTTCTATCCTGTTCTAAGTAACCAGAAGTAGTCCACAAAAACCTGAACATATGGTGCTGCACTCTCTCACCCACAACCGAATTCCACCCCAAACCCCCAAGGGAGACCATCCTCCAAGTTGAGAATTCTATAGTGGATCAGAAATCTAACAAATGGAAAACTCTATTTCAGAATTCATATTCATAACAAATTCAAAGTCATAAAAACCATATTTAAACCCCCCATTTAATAATGCTTTGAAAAATATTTACTGATTCTGTTACCACTCTTTTTCTAAATTAATTCTAGAATTATTTTGGCTACATACCACCAGGTTTCCAATCACCATGACCATCATGAAGACTGTAATGCACATGGCTTGGCCAGCGACCTCCATGCAGTCCCACATCGTTTCTATCCACTCTCCACACAGCACTCGGAATACAATCAGGAAAGAGTGGAAAAAGTCATGCATGTGCCAGCGTGGAAGTTTACAGTTGTCAGAGATCTTGCAGACACAATCGCTGTAGTATTTCCCAAACAGCTGCATCCCAACCACAGCGAAAATGAACACAATGATTGTCAGCACCAGGGTCAGATTCCCCAGAGCCCCCACTGAGTTGCCCATAATCTTAATCAGCATATTTAGAGTTGGCCAAGATTTTGCCAACTTGAAAACTCGCAACTGAAAAACAAAAATACAGAAGCATTATTTGCAGTAGTTACAGAAATACTATGGAAATAGCAATAGAAATACATAGAAATAGCAACACTATAGCAATAAACTCAACAAAAGCAAAAAGAATAGATTTCAACGTGATTCCAACAACTATAATTTACACAGATCCAGAAGTTTCATAAAAATCTGCATGTTTAAAACTAATAAATTTTAGACTTTGCGCCCTTTTTTTTTTTTTTTTTTTTTGGTGTGTGTGTAACATATCTGTATTCTTTTCCACATGAAAAAAAATAGAACAGGGGTTGTATTTGTTTGGATGGTGAATTCTGAACATGGCACACATCTAAACCATTATGTGCAGAAATGAATTAAAAAAATAATAAAGCTCAACAGAATTCTACTGACAGAAAAGAAAGGATTCTGAAATCCTCAAAGAATGCAGTCTTCCAAAAGAATATTGCCTCCAATAAATTAAAAAAGGATCAGACACGCCCACTGTCTGGAAATAAAAACAAAGAACAATATGCAAGTCAAATACTTTAACTTACGAAGCGGAAAAAGTGTAATTCATATTCTTTCTTACCCTTAATCCACTCAAAATAAAAATGCATTAAATATTTTTTGTTTTCAGATAAAAGAAAAATAGAAATGCAAAATCGAAAAAGAACACAAGGAAACAATGTCTCATACATAATTTCTCATTTTTAAAACAATGGTATTTTTCTAATACAATAAAGCTTTTTTTTTCCTAAGGGGAAAAGAAAAATCAATTTTTTGGAATTTTTTTAAAAGTATGAATTTTGTAATTTCTACATTTTAAAAGAACACCTCTAGCCTCTTTGCTATTTCCATATATGGAAGTTAACAAGACTACAAATGTTTTACTTATTTATATATCTCTATATACACTTAAAAGAATTATACATTTCACTGAGCTTTACTCATCCATGTTAAAACAATTATAATAAAATTACAGCTCTTTCCCTTAAAACAGTATTTAGTTGCTTCTGATCCATAAAATGGCACACAGCATTTAATGATAGCATAAATAATTTTGTAAAACATGCTTGCAGAGATATCCTGTGACACTTAGTAAAAATACACATAACACTAAAAAAGGTCTGAGTACAGTTGAAATACAAATATAATTCATTAATTAATGCAGATACTTTATTTACCAATCTGAACGACCGGAGAACAGATAATCCATCCACATTTGACAGAAAAAGCTCCACCAAACTAAGAGTAACTATAAAACTATCAAAAATATTCCAGCCAACTTGGAAATAATAAAAAGGATGCATGGCAATTATCTTGAGAACCATTTCAGCTGCAAAAATTCCAGTAAAAACCTGAAGAAAGAATGTTTATTGTTACTTTATAGATAAACATTAGTAAGTTGAACCAGTAGATAAAGAAAAACTTAAGTAAGAAGTAGCATCCCTCTTACAGCAGGATGTCAGTAAGGAAAATTATCACAACCTGAACCCCACAGAGAAGGTAAGTGGCTATATCAAAATGAGCTCTAGCACAAATCCGTAATTTCAGTTAAACCTGAGACACATTCAGTGACTACCAAAGAACAAACTATTCCTAATGGGCCTCTGGTTTGCTCCTCGTACCTGCTGTCCATCTAAATAAAGGAACTTTTCCCAGCAAGATAATTAACAGTTGCTTTTGACAAATGGAAGCTGCTTTAACAAAGATGTGTGGAAAAACATGAATTGGTCATAAATTGGAGTGATGTGCTATTAATGAAGACTATATAGGAACTCAGAGAGAAGCACATCTTCTCTTTCTATCTGCCAGAAAAATGGTCAGTTGTGCCAAGGATCATGTTTGAAGTAAAACTCCTTTCTGACTCTGAACGTCTCTGATGTCTTCTGAAGCAGCAGACAAACAACAGCTCTGAAATAAATTCACCGTAGATACTCATATGACCACCAGTATCTACAGAAGTGCATAAATTACTATCTTTTACTAGAAAGATGAACAAACTTTAAAAAAATCAGAAGCATTCTTTAAAAGGTAGGGCTACACAGTCCAAAAAGTAAAAAAGCAACTGCTGAAACTGCATCAGTATTGCAGTGACATTTTAGTTGACTGGGAGCACACACAAAGTTTTAGCGCTAAGGAACACTTACACAGCTCAAGCTACTGCAATACATAGGAAAGGAAAAAAATGGGAGTTTTCTGGGTGAAACACGCAGGCATGATCACAAAACCTCACCAAACACAACATACAGACTCTGTCCACTTGGGAACAAAACCCAATTATATCAAGATGCTCTTAAAAGTCATACGTTCTCTGCCTTCCAAATTGTTATGGACCAATCAAATAAATATTCTTCATGAAAATGCAAAATCAACACACAAAAACAGCAGTGAAAAATAATGCAAAATAGCATTCAACTTTTCTTGTGTTATGAATGGTACCTACAGATAAAAGAATCTAATTTGGTTCCTACTTTATTTTTGTAATACTAAACAAAAACAAGCCAGATTTCTTTCAGTTTTGTGTCATTCAAACAATGGTTGTTGAAAAGTCTATTTGAAGAAATTTTAGTACAGAAATCAAACTCTTACATACAACATATCTCAAATGGTATTTTTAGTACAATTAAACCTATAACATTTATTTTATGGGACAATAATAAAAATAATAAAAGTAATTCTATTTCAAAGAGAAACCAAGTTCCAATTGTATCGAGTTTTATAGATCGAAGGACTTACCTGATTTCCTATTTTAAGTACATTCTCAAAATCTTCAGTCATTGGATAATGTTCCATGGCCATAAATAACGTGTTTAAAACTATGCACACAGTGACAGCCAGATCAACAAGTGGATCCATTACAATAAATTCAACTACACTCTTTACTTTTAACCAGGGCTCACAACAATCCCAAATTAAAAAAGTCTGAGCAAACTTGGACCAGCAAGGTGGACATTTTTGTCTGGATCCTTCAAGTTCTGCAGAAAAAAAAGGAAAATTAGAGGGAACAAGTTTTGGAGAAAGTGAAGATAATTTTTTGCTCTTTTCAGGTTTTAATTCTTATACCTGGAACCACTAAGTACGTTTGGAGGAACATCGTCAGATTGCCAGGAATTTAACCTATTGTTTCCTGGCTGTAAAGGTTTTGGAAGACTAAGAGAAAAACCTCAGGAGTTTTGAGCTAATAATTGTAAAAGTTGTTTATTTTTAATATTATATAATCTTGTTTTAAAAAACCAAAAACAACATAAAACCCCCTATGCTTATGTTTAGGAATTTTTTTTTTTTTCAGTAACACTTTCAACTGCACAGTCCTCTAAAACATCTAATTATTTATTTTCAGGAAAAATAAGCTAATTTCATACTAAATAGGTTTTTGAAAATTATTTAAGCTTTTTTCAAGATTTTCACTAGTAATCAATCCAGATAATCCTACTACAAATTTCCTTCTCCTTATTAACCAATTCCTGGCCTTTAATTTTCTGTAATATATTTACAGTCCAGATAGGGGAAATGTTATCACAAGGCATTTCTTCCAATAACTACATCATTAAACATTAATAACTAATATAAACATATGCACATTATCTATTTTAGTTACAGTGGGGTTTTTTAGCCTGCTTATCACATTCTTTATCTTCTTTATTCGTTATGTACATGCTTTTTTTTTCTACTCTTCAGTTTATTTGCAATGGTTACCTATTTTTTCCCTTCTGTATTTGCACTGTGATGTAATACCTTCAAGCAAGTCTATATCAAGAAAGTTCATGTAAGTGCAGTTATCACACACCTTCCATTGTATTTGTGATAATGTCAGCTATACTCATGGCCCTTTGCCTTACATTGGGATCCTCCAGCAACTCCACTGGTATTTGATACGAACTTGTACGCCTCCTTTTTATTTCCGTTTCTGTAGTGGTGCTCTATTTAAAAAAAAAAAAAAAAAAAAAAAAAAAAAAAAAAAAAAAAAAAAAAAAAAAAAAAAAAAATAAAAAAAAAAAAAAAAAACAAAAAACAAAA